GTAAGCCGAGAGTGACCAGATTCTCTGTTTGATTCCATTTTGATATAAACTTACTGGAAAAGTAACGTCCGAGTGCAGAAAAGTCCCATCGGAGCCTCCTGAGACAATCTTTAGTGGTAAATTAAAAAGCAGTTTAACCCTGCATCTTCTTTGCATATTTCTTTATAGGAACTGAGTTCCTCTCAGCTGAATCATGGATATAGCAGCTTTCTCATAAGGTCTGAATAATAAACAAATGTCCAAATTAACACCACAAACTTTCATCTGGCTCCTTATTAATACTCTTCTTCTGTAGTACAGCGTTGCAGCAATCCTAAACTCAACATAATTATGTGTCTTACTTGCAGCAAGGGATTGTCACAGCAGTAAGGGGCGCATTAAATATTAAAGGATGAAATCAGTGAGGAGTATAAAGACTTGATGGGTTTGTATTAAAATTTGAGCCATGCCTTTAAATCCGAGGTACATTGTCTGCTTTGATGTCAGGCAGGGAGCCAATTTTCCAACACACACAGCAAGGCAAACATTAAGGAGTACATTTATATTCCCAACTTGATGAAGAAAAAAAAAAAAAGAAGGGGTTAAAAACAGATGAAGGAAATCACAAAGGCATTAACTGTAAAGCAGGGAAGTGCCTCATGGCTTGCCATTTCCAGGGAGAGCACGCAGGCTGACTTTTAATAGGATGACAAACGCTGAGAAATTGGGATAAATCAGATTTTTTTTTTTTAAAGCAGCTTTAAGAGTTTCATTGGAACTAACAATCCCTACCAATCACTACATAAGCTCAAGGCTCATTCTGTCCGTCTTTTCTATCTCCCTCTTCTCTGTCCTTCCCTTTCTCTCTACCTCAGTACTTTAAAGCTGCATATCACAAGATCTGTGCTTGTTTACACATTGCTATGAATTTGCCACAAGTTATGAAAATAAAAAGCTGTGGGGATGATGTAAAGCTGGGTCCTTTTTCCAAGAGTTATGTATTAATCTTACTCGCAATTCTGGTAGTAGCCAAAACCTCTCAATGAAAAATGGGGCCAGTGTTTTGCATGTTTTGAATAGTATATATATTTTTCCTTTTATCTTAGGTTATGAGCTTAAGGTCTTTCGGTTTGGAAGCCCTCTTTGCCATCAGCATAATCTTTAGCTCTTCTGTCAGGACTCTGCTGCCTGGGCCACTCAAAACTACTTATAAACAGAGGAAACATGGTCAAAATGAAGCTAAATTTGTCGGGGGTAAGCATAATAATGGGATTCCTTTAAGAACTAGAGGACTATTCTCCTTTACAAACTCAGCTCTGCTTTTTAAAGTAAGCTTTAGGGTCAGTTATGTAGGTTAATGTGTAAATGGGACTTAATGGGTCTAAATTTGGTTGCAGATGTAATAATAATAATAATAATAAATCCAATTTTGTACCGCACTTTTCATTAAGAAAAATCTCAAAGTGCTACACAGTGCAAATAAAATCAAAGATAAAAATCAACCATAAAAATCATGTGGTCAATAAAATCAAAGATAAAAATAAACAACATAAAAATCATGTGGTCAATAAAATCAAAGATAAAAATAAACAACATAAAAATCATGTGGAGGCAGAATAGGCTTGCTTAAATAAAAAAGTCTTCAAGCCTCTTTTAAAATCATTCAATGGTTGTGGAGCTCTCAGATGATCTGGGAGAGAGTTCCAGAGACGGGGGGCAGCGACAGCGAAGGCCCGATCTCCCATGGACCTTAATCTGGAGCGAGGAAGGTGAAGGAAGTTGCAGTCTTGTGATCGAAGAGATCTGGTGGATGAATGTGGAGTGAGAAGGTCCTTCAGATAATCCGGTGAGGATCCGTTTAAACACTGATGGGTGATGAGCGCGATTTTGTATTGAACTCTGCAGGTGATGGGAAGCCAGTGAAGGTCATGCAGAATAGGTGTAATATGGGCAAATTTGCGGGCCCTCAAGAGAATCCTGGCTGCGCTGTTTTGAATGTATTGGAGCTTCTGAAGATGTTTTTTATGGATTCCAACAAACAGAGAGTTGCAGTAGTCTAACCTGGAGGAGACAAATGCATGAACGAGAGTCTCAGCATCAGAAAAAGAAAGGAACGGACGAATTTTGGAGATATTACGAAGATGAAGGAAACAGATTTTAGACAGATGCTTAATGTGATTTTCAAAAGTAAATTGAGAATCCATTTTAACTCCAAGATTTGTAACTATGGTGGAAAATGGGATGTCTTGTCCAGAAAAGGAAACAGTCGTCATAGTTGAAGATTGAACCTGGTGAGGTGTTCCGATCAGCATGGCCTCAGTTTTGGAGCAGTTCAACTGAAGGAAATTCTGAGTCATCCACTTCCTTATCTCCTCCAGGCAGGTAGTGAAAGCATTAAGTGAAGATGGTGATGATGCTCCAGTTCTAATATAGAGTTGTATATCGTCGGCGTAGCAGTGAAAGGAGATGTTATATCGATTTATGATTTGACCCAAAGGCAGCATGTAAAGGGAAAACAGCAGGGGCCCTAATACTGACCCCTGTGGGACACCACAGGAGACAGAGACAGCCTGGGACTTGGCCTTGCCTAGGCTAACACATTCCAGCCGATTGGAGAGAAAAGATTTAAACCAGTCCAGAATGGTGTCACAGAGACCGACCTCCACATGAAGACGGTGTAGTAGGATGTTATGGTCCACAGTGTCAAAGGCTGCAGTTAGATCAAGGAGAACAAGGAGAGATGTAGACCCAGCATCAGCTGCCATGTAGATGTCATTAGTAACTCTCAGCAAAGCGGTCTCAGTGCTGTGAGCAGAACGAAACCCAGACTGAAATTTCTCGTACAGGGAGTTTTGTTCTAGATGAAGCTGCAGCTGAGCGGCAACAGCTTTTTCCAGCACTTTTGACAGAAAAGGAAGATGTGAAATTGGGCGGTAATTGGAAAGAATATCTGGATCCAGGGTAGATTTCTTTAGAAGAGGTTTAATGATGGCTGTTTTAAGAGGCAATGGAACATGACCAGATTTCAGTGATTTGTTTATTATTTGTGTGATTAACGGACTTATTGCGGCATGATTAGATTTTATGAGTGATGAGGGGCAGGGATCCAGGGCACAGGATGAAGGCTTCATTTTCTTGAGGATGTTCTCCACTTCACTCTTTGCAACTTCATCAAAGCAGCTCATGGACCCATGGTGTACAAGGGTAGATGGCAGCCGAAGATCAGGAAGGCTGTGGAGCTGAGATCTAATAGAATTTACTTTGTTTTTGAAAAATGAGAGAAACAGATTGCATTTTTCAGTCGAATCCTCATCCTCAGTTTGTTGATTGGGATGAAGGAGATGTTTTATTGTCGAGAAAAGCTGTTTGGAATTTCCCGGACAGCTGTTGATAATGTTGGAATAATACTTAGACCGTGCTTCCTTAAGAGAAAAGGCATACGCTTGATGTGACTGATGATGTGTTTGTTCTAACTTTTTGGCTGCTTCACTTCACAAATTGACAACTATTATTTTGGTTTTTTAATTTTTTGACTGAAAGCCTTGTGAATAACCCAGGTGCAGATACGTTGTTTGTTGTTTTTTTTTTATCCATATTAGCTGCCAGTGCAGTAGTTGCTAGTATTCCTGTCGTCCATTATATTAAAATACAAAAACAGATTACGGGGAGGGGCTGGTCTAGTGGTTAGAGCAGTGTGCTTGTGCTCTGAGAAGGTTGCAAGTACCTGGTTTCGATCACCACAGCCTGAACTCTGGGTCCCTGAGCAAGACCCTTAACCCCACACTGCTCCCCGGGCTGCACAATGGCAGCCCACTGCTCCCCAAGGGGATGGGTTTAATGCAGAGATAAATTTCTCCAGTGTGAGCTCATGCCTATCTCTAGCTGTCTACGGGCAAGAGGCGGGGTACACCCTGGACAGGTCATTGTGAGAACAATAAAGTTAAATTAGAATTAATAATGCATATAACAAAAACATAAATAAATATTTTAATTTGAGATTTAAAGTTATAACAGCAACCCAATATAAATTGGCGTTGATCTTGGTTTGGTTTTTTGGACCTTGCCATTTGAATCTGAACCTAATTTAGCATCAAAGTCCTGGAGAATGATGGTACCTGCAGAGAGCTGGGACTGTACAAAGAATAATGTTGTTGTTTTTTTCCCCTCTACATGTAACCTTGGGTTATGTTATGTCTCTGGTTAAATAGTAGCCAGTGCATTTAACATATGCTAGCTTGCTAGCATCTCTTTTTTTGCTGCAGATCGCTTTTGGAAAGTTAATTATCTCCTTACTTACTGTGTGTTTTATAAAATCAAGAGGTCTGTGTCTGTCCCAACTACAGTAGATGGACCTACAGTGTGTTCTGCAAACATAAGAACAAGTTTTCATACTGAAGGATCCACCATTTCAGCACATTGTCAACTATTAATAATAAATCAGCTCCCCCTTTAGATAGCTAATAAATAACTATTGGATATGTTATTAATTAACCCTTAACCCTAGACTTTGTAATTCATTCTTAAAAGTGTATTATTCGTTCAATATTCTATGCAGGCTAAAGGAATATGTGTATGAATGCTCAATGTGCTTATAAGGTAGGAAATTAGTCTGAAATGTTGGATGTCCAACCCAACCCAGTCCAACTTTATTTATATATTACTTTAAAAGAAGAAAAGGAACAAAGTACTGCACAAAAGAAGAAATACAAACACCAACAAATGTAATAATAAAAATAAAAATAATATAGAACAAATAAATAAGTAAAATCCATATAGAAAATAAAATAAATAAAATATAAAATGAACCAAAATCAAAAACCTTTTGAGTACTAAATACAAAAATGAAAAAAATATGAGACTTTTAAAAACATTTAAAAATGGTCAAAGTGGAAGCCTGCCTGATATACAATGGGAAATTATTCCAGAGTTTGGGACCGGCTGCAGAGAAGGTTTTGTCTCTTGCTTGCCTTTAAATATTAATTTATGAAGGAGTTATATCAACTATAAATTGATTTATAACA